AGCCGCCCTCGACATCTGAGATCTTGCTCGTTGGAAACGAGCCGAAAAACAGCCATCCTCAGGGAGTTTGATGAAACATCTCACCCAATTATACATGACAGCTACGTTTGTCCTGATCCCGATCCGCGTATTTTAAGCATCCCTGGCCTTGGTCTCTGCCGACAAACCAGGTCGGTAGCTCTTTCAGAGTCCAATAGAAGGCCAGCTGCTCTCGACCTTTATCAGGCCTCAGCACATTTCCTGGCACAATCTCGTCTGCGTATACCACCACGTTTTCACAGACGGCCACGAGGTCGCCGAAGTTTCTGTTGATGCTGCACAGTCTGTGCAGCAAAGCAGCTGGCCGCAAAATGTGCCACTGCCATGGCTCACCATCGAGTGGCACAGTTAAAGAATCCAGCACTCTGCCACATGGCCCGTCCTCCTCCAGCGGTCTGCGGAGGCCTTCACGAATGACCTTCCTTTGATGATCCAGATTCTTCCCTGAGTCCTGCAGGTCTGCAAGCGTAGAGAAGGAAATCGCCCTTGGCAGCTTCTTCCTCGGCGTCTCAGCCTGCAAGGGGCGCTTCAGCGCCATCCATGGCAAAGGTGCTCATGTCAGGCGAGCCTTGACATCCACAGAAATGGTCAGGCGAGGCCTTGACCAAGCAGGCTTGCTCCTAACATATCTCGCAAAGGATCTGAGTTTTTACTCTGTATGCATATTTGTATATAGATACATCTACACGTTTTAGGGTTCAGCGTCTATCGTTTAAGGGTTTAGGGTTTAGGGTTTCAGGCGGGCACTGTGCAAAAGGGTTTCTGCTTTTGTATGCTTCAACTGTATACGAGCCGATAAGAGCTCAAAACATCGAATCACCAATTCCTCGCTCACACAGAACATGCAGATGTGTGGCATGCATGCGTGCATAAAAAGTTGAGCCCTGTTTTCCATGGCTGTGTGCATGCATGGCGTGCTGCGTGCATGCACATGCGGGCGGGCGAAGCCTCGCCGATTAGAGCTGCTCCAGGTCTCTTGCCTGAAGTCTCACACTCTCTAGCCTTCCCTCGGTTTCTTGAGAGGTGGGGCAGGCCAGCTACGAGGAAACTGCGAAGGCGAAGGGGCCTTGCTCTTGGACCCTACGCCTGGCAAGGGCACGTCCTCCTCCTCCTGCGCCTCTTTGTCGGGGCAGTCCGACGGCACGGGAGGCTCCTCCTCCGCTTCACTGCCGGGGCCAGCCTCCGACGTGGGAGAGAGGCGCTTCTCCTGCGGCAGCACCGGTGTTTCCTCGTAGTCCACCTGCATGTTGTTAAGTCTTAGGCTTTTTTGGGTTCAGGGTTTCTCCCTAATTATATTTTATAAGTTTAGGGCTTATAAAAACGGGCCTCCTCCTCTTTCATCGGTAGATCTTGCCCCGCAGGTGCGGCTTTGGCCACCTTCAGGGTTTAAGGATGGAATATTGGATTTAAGGTTTAGGGCCCGGCCTCCTCTTCCTCCTCTGCCTCCTTTTTCGCCTGCACCTTGCCCGGCGGGGCTTCCTCAGCTTCTGAGCTCTCGGACGAGTCTGAGCCGACCTTCAGGGTTTTAGGGTTTAGGCCTATTATATATAGGGGGGTTTTGGTTGAGCCTGGTTGAACCCACGGTTTAGAGTGTAGGGTTTAGGGGTTTATGGTTTGGCCTTCGGCGCCGGCTTCACTTCGACAGCGGCGGGAGCCCTTGGGCTTTCCGAGCTGGCGGAGCTCGCCTGTCGGTTGTTGGCAGGATTTGAGGCGTATCTATGTCTCTATATAAAGATATATGTATAAAGGAAGAGTAAAGATGTATATATAAATTTGTATGTATACATATATATATATATGTGTGTACCCTTGTGCAGAAGCCCAAGGGCGAAGCCACAGGTGCTTCTGCACATTTACTTGTAATCACACAGGCGAAGCCATGTGTGATTACAACTTGCATGTGTGTTAGGCCCGGCCTCGTCGGAGGAGCTGCTCCGGGCCTTTGGCGGCGGCGGCCGCAGCTGCAGCTTGTGCATTGCCTGCAATGCTGCTTCTGCTTGTCTGGCCGCGTTTTCCGACCTGGCCGCTGCAGCTTCCGCACGTTGAGCGGCCTGCAGCCAGGGATCAGGCAGCCCTGGCACTAAAGGCGGTGGCGCGAGGAAGCCTTGCCCCAAAAAGCCAGGTTGCTGGTCCAAAAAGGCAGGTTGGGCTGGGAAGGAGGGCTGGAACGGCGGGGGCGGGGCTTGCCATGCCTGCGGGAAGGCTTGGGGCCAGGGTGAGGTGGGTGGCCTGGCTGCTGGCGGCGGGCGAGGCCTCGCCGGCTTCGCTCCTGGAGCTGGAGTGGAAGCGGCCGCTGGCGAGGCCCTTGCCGGGGGCTTTGCCTTGGCTGACGCTTCTATGTACCGCCAAGCCATGGACAAAGCCTCCGGCAAGTGACCGCTTTTGGGGCCGGTCAGGACCATGGCTCGCCCCTGCCAGGAGTTCCTCAAGCGAAGCGAGACCCTCATGCCCGTGGCCTGAAAGATCTCGCTTCGCTCAGCGGCCGTCAGGGTCCCCGCCTGGACCTCGTAGGGCCCATCGTAGACTTCGTCTACGATGGGCCCCTCCTCCTCCTCCTCCTTTTCCTTTCCCTTTCCTTTCCCTTCTTCTTTCACCTCCTCTTGGAGGCCCTCCCCTTTTCCTTTTCCCTTCTCTGAGGGATCCTCTTCTTTGACGTGCTTTCCTTTTCCTTTGTCTTCGGGGCACTTCCCTTTTCCTGTTTCCTTTCCCTTCTCTTCGAGGTCCTTCCCTCCTTTTTTGCTTTTTCCAAGACCCTTCTCTTCTGGGCGCTTCCCTTTTCCTTTTCCCGGCCCCTTCTCTTCGGAGTCCTTCCCTTCTCCTTTTTCCTTTCCCTTTCCCTTCTCTTGGAGGTCCTTCCCTTCTCCTTTTCCTTTTCCCTTCTCTTCCGGGTCCTTTCCTTCTCCTTTTCCCTTTCCCTTCTCTTCAGGGTCCTTTCCTTCTCCTTTTCCCTTTCCCTTCTCTTCAGGGTCCTTTCCTTCTCCTTTTCCCTTTCCCTTCTCTTCAGGGTCCTTTCCTTCTCCTTTTCCCTTCGCCGCGGACTTCGCCGGGAGCTTGTCCATGGCGACCGCAACGAAGCAGCTGTGCCGCTGCTGAGGTTTCAGGAACTTGCCTGCATGTTCTATATATGCCATGGGCTTGCACATGTGTCTGTCTGCAGTGCGTCTGGCTTCGTGTGTGTCTGTCTGCTGTGTCATGCGTGCTGCTATGCCCATGCAGTGCGTGCAGGGGCGAAGCCTCCTGCACAAGATGCACGGGGCGATGCCTCCATGCATTCATTTAGAGCCACGTTCACAGCGGATTTGGAGTTCGGGTTTGAGGTTAAGACGGCTTGGGGTTTGGGGTCAAGGGCCCGGTTTCGGGTAGCATCGTTTGGTTCTTGGGCTGGCAGATTTTGGCATTCAGCTGGCATGTTTTTGCAACTTACAAGTGTCAACTTTTCGACTTCAGGTATGCGTTTTTTTGAGTTTGGGTGAATTAATTTTCGACTTGAGGCTAATTTTTTTTAGGTTTGAGGGAGTTCAATTTTCGACTTCAGGCGACGTTTTTTTTTGGTTTTGGTGCGGTTAAATTCTCGACTTGAGGCTCGTTGTTTTTTTGTTTTGGGGGGGTTGGATTTCGGACTTTAGGCGACGTTTTTTTTGGTTTGGGCGGTTCAATTTTTGGCCCACGGATACAATTTTCGGGAAATAGCGTTGCGGGGGCGTCGGAGTTATAACTCCCAGCGAGTGGACTTACGGCGGACTTATAACTCCCACTTATAACTACTTAGCGAGGACTTGACTGGGACTTATAAGTGGAGCCTTAACTCCTTCAAGTAGTTATAAGGCAAATATAACTCTGTATGGACTTACAACTCACTTGCTATGTCAATACACTACTTATAAATGGCCTTGCATGATTTATAATTGCACATGACCGACATATAACTCGACATATAAGTACGGAACAGCAAAACCCACCAAAGGAGCCCTTATATGGGTAATTGTCAAAATTAGGGCCCCCTTTTGGGTACCCAAATATCAAGTGCCGTATATATTAAGGATCCAAAAGGGAGCATAATTTTGACAGCCACCCATATTAAATATTATAGAGTTCAGTCCTAAACCGGCACCCCATAAATCTACCAAAGGCATTATTGTTGGTCTTGTGTTTCTCTACCGCTGGCTCTATGTTGACGTTAAGAGAAACTTGTCCAAAGTTACAACCCCCCTTTGATACCCATAGAAGCCTTACCTGACTCAGAATGAAATCGGGGCCTTAGTAAATACCTACTATACTATTTGGGTGGCGCCTTTTTCCCCACATCACTGTGTGGGGTTCTTACTTTTTGGGTCTGTCCCGCCTCCTCCTCCTCCTCCTTCTCCTCCTCCTCGTGCTTCTCCTCCCGCTCCTCCTGACTTCGCCTTCCCATCACTGTCATACTGTCATCACACACACACACACACACACGCTCCCGCGACACTCTTCCGCGACTAAAGACCCTCGCCGGGCCAAGGCCGCGCGCGCGCTGGCGGCGAGACTCTTCCGCGACTAAAGACCCTGGGCTGTTCCGCGACTAAAGACCCTCCCCGGGCTGCTCCGGCCAAGGCTGGGGGCGAGACTCTTCCGCGACTAAAGACCCTCCCCGGGCTGCTCCGGCCTACACACGCACGAACACACATGCACACACACACACACACGCACTATACTCGCACACCGCACTCGCACACCGCACATGCACACATCATACACCCTCATAACATCCACATACGCAATCACTGCAGCACTCACTCACTCGTTCACTCACTTATCCATTTACTCCCGGACTCATTGACTCTTTTGCATCTTTACGTTGTCTGTGCATGGACAATCTTCACATGTGGGGTTATCCGGCCCTTTAATTATAAGTATAGCATAATGGTTCCCAAGACCCTTCTCGAATTATTAAGGCCCCTAGAAGCATCACTTAACATTCGAGGCGCCCATGCAGAAGGAGATACGGTTAGCCATGATGGCCGGCGAGTTGTTCCTCGGCAGCTGCAGGAGATGTTCGGGTAAGTCTCAGGGCTCCAGAAGTCTTACTCTAAGGGTTTAGGTGCTTCGGGTTTAGGGTTTAGGGGTTTAGGGTTTAGGGTTTAGGTGCTTCGGGTTTAGGGTTTAGGGGTTTAGGGTTTAGGGGTTTAGGATTACTACAAGGACTCCTCGCAGGTTTTCGACCTTACGCGGCCTTTAAACTTTCAATCCTGAAGCACAAAACCCTTGAACTTCAAGCCAGAGCCGGTAAACCATCTTAGTACTCGTCACTCAAAATGTAGCCTTTGCACAATGCTCCAACTATGCGAAGTGTTGGCCGCCGCAAAAGCTTACGGAATCCTAGATCAATTCTTGAAACCCTGCGTAGATCCCAAGCATTGCGAAATGATAGGTTATGACCCCTTGTTCCCAAGAGCAGAACACTCAAAACCTTGGGTTATTTGATCCGCAGCTAGAGACGGGCCCCCAAAATGCGGTTGATGATATATATCCCGCATTACCTTAATAACCCTAAACTATGGGAATTATGGTATATTCCTTATTATGGGTCATGCAGGATTTATATCATCAACCGTAGTATATACTTTGGTCCCGAAGTACCTATATAGGGACTACTTTAAGGCCAAAATACAGCCTATTTGGGTACACCGAAATTCTGCCAACCCCCCCGGCGACTCTGAGGGCCGTACGTCGAGCCCAAGGCGCCGCCGCTGTCGTCCTGCTACAAAAAACTGGCCTTTTCTTAGACAGAGAGAGAGAGAGAGAGAGAGAGAGAGAGAGAGAGAGAGAGCGAGAGAGAGAGAGAGAGGCTACTACAAACTGGCCTGAATACTCAGAATAATTAGGGTTTTTGGGGGCCGCAAAATATTTACGACACCTATGATTAATTAAGCTTCTAAACAGGGTGTTTGTGCAAAAGTACTACACCTATATTAAGGTCCCTATATCAGATTTCGAAAGAAAAAGGGTGAGCGGCAAGCCCAAAGCCCGACCCCAAAGCCGCAAACTCGCCAAAGCCCTAAACCCTCAAGCCCCGCAGCGCCAGAATTGCTTCAGAATAATCCTGTATCCCCATACCCTACAAAATCGTAGGTTATGACCCCTTAATAAGAGGGTCTAACCCTAAAAACGGTGGTTTTTGGGGGCAAAAATCGAGGATAGCTATATGATTACTGCCAAATTCATTAGACGCTAGAAGCCCGGCTCGTAAGGGTTTCCTTTAGGGTTTGCTATGCGGCTTGAGTGTTTCAGGGTTCCCATGAGGGCCTCGTGGCTATTGCTCCCTACACCCTACACCCGAAATACGCGGCGGACACTCAAATCTGTAGTGCTCATAGCCTGGAAAAGTGCTAGAGAGGTAACTCGTCTTCGAGGGAGAAGCTTAACGCAAAGAGCCTGAGTATATACGGGTCGAGGGCTGCTAGGTTTGAGTAGAATCTATAGCATGGGTGCGTTCCAGCGTTCAGCACACCTTGCATGCATATCCGTAGCCCCGTCTCACTGACTTGGGACTGGCTTTGCCGGGCTGGGGTCATGGCCTACTTATACATATGGGAGTTTCCGAAAATAGGGGGCCCTAATATGGTACAATAAAAGGACTATTATTAAAAGGACCCCAAAATCAGGTACCTCTAATTTTCGGAAACTCCAAAATGGTCATATGGGTCGTTCTAGCGGAGGTCTCTGATCAAGAGCACGTGAATCTGATGACAAGGGCCCGAAGAGAATGCCTGGCCTAGAATCGAAACCCCACCTCATGTATCAGTAAGCTAAGCGATGAGTGCCGTTGATGCAGGAGTCTCGAAGAGGCGACTGACTGTGGTGTAATAACCCTACACCCAAAAACCCAAACACTCGCTCCATCCGAACTATTGAATCTCATACCTGGGGGCTCCATATAGCCTTCAGTGTACTTTGCACAGCATCTAATCTACTACAAGCTACGGGCATTAAGAATAATGGGGTTCTAGAAGGTCACGGAGGATCGTGGAGTCAAGGCTCAGGTTTAGTGAACAAAGGGATTTCGGTGTTAGGATGGTGTAAGGCTTTTAGAATGGTATGTGAATGGTACTGGAGGAAGACAGCTCGTATACCCCGACCTCGTAAATCTTAAATCCTGACACCTAAACCACGAATTCGAACAAGCCTAAACCAGAAAACCCTATTTCCCTAGATCCGAAACTCTGGGTCCTAAGCCCCAAAATCAACACAGCCAGGCCTTCGGCAAGGCGGCAAACTCGGGAATTCCTCCTGGGCCTCCCATGAAGACCCCGATGTTGGACCTGCGTGCGCTCCTACCTACTTAGCATGGTATAGTTGAGAAGAACTTTGCCCAGAACCTTAGCCTGGGCTCGGGTTGAAAAGTGCGAGTGAAACCTAAACCCCGTGATCGTTAAACCTCCCTGAAAAACCTATGGAGGCCTAGGAACATCCTGCAGCTAAAACCCCTCAGCCTCCATGAACCCTCGTGTCAACGCGCATATGATGAACACCCTGTGCAAGATACTACTACCCGCCAGAAAAAGTCCATGAAGACTTTGTGAGGCCCTGCTACACCACTACCCCTGTCAAAACCCTAAACCCTAAACCCCCACGATAACCCAGAATCCCCATGAGACTCGAGAGACCTCATAATCCGCTTCTCGTCTAGGCCGGCGCTGAGTGTCGTCTCGTAGAAGACCTCAAGAGCCTGACTCAAAGTCCACTTCGGTTAAAGCAGACTTATAAGGGAGTTTCCGAAAATAGGGGACCCTACTATAGTACCCTAAATAGTAGGATCCTTATTATAAGGACCCCCAAGTAAGGTTCCCCTAATTTTGGGAAACTCCCATATGGGGGTTTAGAGTTTAGATGGGTTTAGGGTTTCGAGGCCCAGAGCTGAGGTGTTAGGGCCCTTATAACTTCATAAACCTTTACTGGCCCCTCATTGGGGGCCTTACTTAGAGGATCATGGGACTTAGTAACTAAGGTTATAACTAAGGTAACTATACTTATAATTGCTTATAGCCCCAATTAAGGTACTTATAACCATACTTACTAAGTCCCATGATCCTCCAAGTAGGGCTATAGAGGGCCTTGGAGCTAGACAGGGTTTAGGGCTTATTGGGGCTTCAGGGCTTCAGGGCCTTGGCATTTGTCTTGGCTTTCTTTGTGGCTGGGAGCTTCACCAACGTACCAGGGCGCCGTAGAATATTATTCTGTAATCTATGAATGATACGGAACCATTTAGTCTTGGTGATGATTTAAGCCCCGAGAGCACAAATGCTTCGTTGATAAGGAGTTGGGGCCTATAGGGTTGAAACCTCAGGGATCAGGATTTTGGATTGGAACGATAGCTCTCTTTCAGTAGATGCATGATGCATGCTGTTGACGCAAGCCAAAAGCAGCTGAAGAAGGTTCACTCTTCAACTTTGTTGCGGGTACGATTTACTCTGCAGTCAGCAAACGTCAAGATCACAAACACCCTTTTCGAGCCTGTATGGAGCATAGGATTCTGTGGATCCTTTATGAGAGCCATACAGAACGCGACGTGAAACCCTTCTAGAACCGGTATTCAGCACACCCTTCCTTGCGGAATACTTCTGGCCCCATATTATGGTGTGCAAGAAAAGAGCCTGCCGCTGGTTGGGATCCATGCCACCAGCTTCGAGGTTGCTAATCCTGGGCATTTTTCAACTGCTTAAACTTAGGTGCCTTACCTTAACCCCAAACAACCTACCTTTTCAAAGGACTTATATAAAGAAATCATATCGGGGAACCCTAACAACGTGGGGTCCAGGTGGGTCCGATGGGGATGAAGGGCTCAGGGTCACCTAGGTGTCGCCGCGTACTCCTGGGCTTCCAGGGCTTTAAAAGCAAGGGGTGTGAAGAGTTCGGTGTTTTGGCGATTTCGTCGAAAGTGCGTGTGGAGTGAGGGCAAATCTCTCTGAGCCCTGAACCCCCAAACCCAGTTCAAGACTCGAAGTTGCACGCGTCGACGAGCCGAGTTATCAAATTGTGCATTAGTGAGTCGTCAAGCCCTGTGCAAATGGGCGGTTGTCAAAATTATGGTCCCTTGTTGGGTACCCCAAATAGTAGGTGACGTACTATAATATGGACCCCAAAAAGGAACCATCATTTTGACAGCCACCCAAATATTGTACACCCGGGAGCCCACTACATCCGGTAGGGAAACCCTACACACCCTATTCAGAAGCCGGTTAGCCTGGCCTGCTCCCCCTCAGCCCCCGACAAAACACACCAAGACTCCGATGTACAGACTTATGGTCTCCATTGCAATTCCTTTTTGGTGTTACTTTTTAGGATCCTTAATATAATATTGGTTAAACCGAAAAAGGAACTACAATGGAGACTATAGGTAGACTTCAAGCTGTGTGACACAGAGGTCATGGCCCTTTGGGGCTTAGGGTCTTCGAGAAATTCAAGCGGCTTGAACATCTTGTTGTCGAAGAGCTCGAGACCCTCGATGTACCTTGGATCTTGAGCGTCGATTTCCAGAGTGATGTGCGCTTGAAGAGGCTCTGTAGGTTTTGGTGCAAACACCTGTGACGCAGGCATGTCAGAAGTGCTATAGATTTGCTTTCGGCTCAGGTGAAAACACTCCGGCACTGAGGTTTCTGGGTCTTGCAATGAGGATCAAGGGATGTACTTGGATCATGGGACTTCTAAGTACCTCAATTAGGGTTGTAAGCAGTTAGAAGTACTGCTTCCTTACTTATTAGCCCTCGTTACTAAGTCCCATGATCCTCCAAGTAGGGCTTCGTCTCCGTCAGCTTCGAAACACGGTTGATGATATACATCTGCATGACCCGAAATAAGGAATATACCATAATTTCCATAGTTTAGGGTCATTAAGGTAATGCAGCTGCAGGACATATATGGGAGTTTCCGACAATAGGGGACCCTAATATAGCACCCTAAATAGTAGGATCCTTATTATAAGGACCCCCAAATAAGGTACCCCTTATTTTCGGAAACTCCCATATCAATCACATCCCTGTACATACTCTGGGGTTTTAACTCATTTAGGGTCTTTAGGGTAGTGCAGGATATATGTCATCAACTACTTCAGGGATTCATCATCCTGGGGCTTCGGAGTTTCGGGGAGTTTCGGGTTCCCCAGAGCCGAAGCAAAGAGACTTCAGCTCCTGAGCCCTACTTGGAGGATCATGGGACGTAGTAAGTACGGTTACAAGTACCTTTATTGCGGCTATAAGCAATTATAAGTATAGTTATCTTAATTATAACCTTAGTTACTAAGTCCCATGATCTTCTAAGTAGGCTTGTATCCCCAGTTCATATCACCCGAAGACTCCAAGCCCCTAAGTAGCCAACACACCTTAAACCATACACGTGTCCTGAACATGAGAGTGTATATTCCGCGTTTGAGAGTCTCTAGGAACCCCTCCCCCTTCAAGACAAACAAAGTCCTGTTTAACATCCCACAAAACAAACCGTCTAACTGCTGCAAAAAGCTCATAATCCTTGGTCTGTTGGGGGGTTGATCCCTACCGTAAACCCCCGGGTGCTACCCTGAACTAACTCTAAACCGTACATGGGAGTTTCCGATAATAGGGGACCCTAATAGAGTACCCTAAACAATAGGATCCTTTGTATAAGGCGGCAGAGCCACGTGCCGTGGTTGCAGTGCGTCTTCCACTTCTGGGCTGGATCCTCGCGATTGGCCAATGCTTGAGGCTGAGAGTACGTACGGTGCAGGTTGTAAGGTAGGTTTACTGTTTGGGCGGTAGGTCACAGGGTTTGGTGTACGGTTTAGGGTTTAGGGTGGGTTTAGTTAGGGTTCGGTGCTGTTCCCACGGTTTGTCCATTCTGGGATCCTCACGGCTTATGTATTACGCATTTAGGATTGCGGATTTGGGGGCTTTGGGTTTTGTGGCTTAGGGCTTCGGGTTCATGGGGCTGAGGGGAAGGATACCATGCGATACCGACGGTCCCCTAACCCCTAAGCCTATAGGTTCAGAGCCTGGGAAGATGTACGTAGGACCTTTATGCTCTATTTGGCACTCGGCTTCGTTGTTATAATTCTTTGCCACAGAGATCCGTATTCGAATATCTAGCCTTTCAAGTTTTAAAGGTTTTCAATATTTGAATGGCTTCTGAAATCCTTGAAATCTAATTGGCTGACCAGGATTTTTAAAATTTTAATGGCCTTAAAATCTTTAAAATCCTTAAAATTTAAATGGGCCAAGGTTTGGGCTTTGGAAAAGTTAGCAAACCATTAAATTTTTAAAAATCTTTAAAATCTTTAAAATTTGATTGGCCGGCCAATTATTTTTTAAGGATTTTAAAATTTTAATGGCCTTAAAATCTTTAAAATCCTTAAAATTTAAATGGGCCAAGGTTTGGGCTTTGGAAAAGTTAGCAAACCATTAAATTTTTAAAAATCTTTAAAATCTTTAAAATTTAATTGGCAGGCCAATTATTTTTTAAGGATTTTTAAAATTTTAATGGCCTTAAAATCTTTAAAATCCTTAAAATTTAAATGGGCCAAGGTTTGGGCTTTGGAAAAGTTAGCAAACCATTAAATTTTAAAAAATCTTTAAAGCCTTTAAAAATTAATTGGCCGGCCAATTATTTTTTAAGGATTTTTAAAATTTTAATGGCCCCAAAATCTTTAAAATCCTTAAAATTTAAATGGGCCAAGGTTTGGGCTTTGGAAAAGTTAGCAAACCATCAAATTTTTGAAATTTAATTGGCCGGCCAATTAGTTGGTTACACGCGCACCAGGCGCCTGGATAAATCGTGCATTTCACTAGGGGGCATGGGGGGGAGGGGGAAGGGGGGGGGGAAAGAACGAGCTGTGGCCTCGTATGCATCTACAGGCCTGGTATGTCAGCTGCTCCTTGCGGCTCCGACCACTCATGTAGCCGGTGCTCTGCGGGCATGGATGGGGTCTGATCTGGACGTTATCATGGTTGGCACATGGATGCTCTGCGGGCATGGATGGGGTCTGATCTGGACGTTATCATGGTTGGCACATGGATGCTCTGCGGGCATGGATGGGGTCTGATCTGGACGCTATCATGGTTGGCACATGGATGCTCTGCGGGCATGGATGGGGTCTGATCTGGACGTTATCATGGTTGGCACATGGATGCTCTGCGGGCATGGATGGGGTCTGATCTGGACGTTATCATGGTTGGCACATGGATGCTCTGCGGGCATGGATGGGGTCTGATCTGGACGTTATCATGGTTGGCACCTGAAACCTTTCTCAGGTTGTCACTGCGAGCGACGGAGCTAAGCACTTAGGATCTTCAAGTATGGATGCTGGTCTCACAGAGCGACAAGGCATCGGTGGAGCGCCTGAGATATGTTTTGAGGGTTTCTGCTCCAGACCTTTTCCGGGGTCCCCCCAGCCTCAACCCTAGGTACAGGGTTTTGTGTGGTCTTTCGGGTTGAGGTGCGACTTTGGCCTGGGTCTGTGTGCAGGTTGCGAGTCTTGAGGGTTCACAGTGTTTCAGACAAGAGAAAACCACACCCCACAAACAGCATTTCCTGCTGTAAATTAGCTGATGTGTCACTAAAAATGAATAGTTTGAGCTCTTGCTAATAAATTGGAATTTAGCTAAAATCATACCAAAACCTAGGAAATAAGCACATTGAGACCCTTGAAAGTAGCCAGTCGCCAGGCCATTAAAATTTTAAAAATCCTTAAAATTTAATTGGCCGGCCACATAAATTTCAAAGATTTTAAAGATTTTTAAAAATTTAATGGTTTGCTAACTTTTCCAACGCCCAAACCTTGGCCCATTTAAATTTTAAGGATTTTAAAGATTTTGGGGCCATTAAAATTTTAAAAATCCTTAAAAAATAATTGGCCGGCCAATTAATTTTTAAAGGCTTTAAAGATTTTTTAAAATTTAATGGTTTGCTAACTTTTCCAAAGCCCAAACCTTGGCCCATTTAAATTTTAAGGATTTTAAAGACTTTAAGGCCATTAAAATTTTAAAAATCCTTAAAAAATATTTGGCCGGCCAATTAAATTTTAAAGATTTTAAAAATTTTTAAAAATTTAATGGTTTGCTAACTTTTCCAAAGCCCAAACCTTGGCCCATTTAAATTTTAAGGATTTAAAATATTTTAAGGCCATTAAAATTTTAAAAATCCTTAAACAGCAATAATTGGCCGGCCAATTAAATTTTAAAGATTTTAAAGATTTTTAAAAATTTAAATCCCGGGCCCCAGCCCCAGCCCCGGCCCACCCCAACCCAGCACGAAATAAGTCTTTTTAAATTCCTTAAATTCTTTAAAAATTAAATCGTCCGGAATTATTTTTTTAAATTTAAAAAAATTAAAAAATAGAAATTCTTCAAATTCTTTAAAAATTAAATCGGCCGGAATTAAATTTTAAAGAATTTAATGATTTTAAAGAGTTTAAAAAAAATAAATCCCGGGCCCCCGCCCCAGCCCCGGCCCACTCCGGAATTAATTTTTAAAGAATTTAAAGAATTTAAAAAATTAAATCCCGGGCCCCAGCCCCAGCCCCGCCCCGCCCAGCCTCACCCAGCCCCCGACCCCAGCCCCCAGCCCCCAGCCCTCAGCCCCAGCCCCACCCCAGCCCAGCCCCAGCCTCCACGGCCGCACCCTCAGCAGGCCACCCCCCCACCAGCCC